ACAGACTTTACCCGAGCGTTACACATCCAAGATCTGACGAGTCTTCACTTCAAAAAATCTCTGATTTTTGTAGGTTAAATTTCGGGTTTTACAAATTGCTAACAACACCCAGAAAATATATATATGGGCCAGCTCAAATAAAAGTATATGTTTTTTTGAGATAGAGAATGATGTTTGTAATGGCAAGACATCAGTCGATAAAAAAAGAGCAATAAAACAATCAATTGTTTGATTGAAGCCTCAAGGAGCAGTCAAAGCATATGATATGCTAATGCACTGCTCTCTACAACAAGAGAGCTGAGTGAGTGATGGAGCAGCCACTCGGTGCCTTTAGTAATCCAGCAAACCTTTTGTCTATCCCTTGTGCCTCGGGACAGATAGCACCGCCTTAGCTGATTTATGCACGGCCATTTATCTATGCAACGATTTAACGAAAGCACCTTAACGCATCAGGCGGTTCACGTGCTACAAGGAAATCTGTCCTTGTTCAAGCCAAAGGACTGTCTTGAGAAGGCGACAAATCCTTTCAGGCGATAAATAACAGATTGCGCAATTATCGCTTCAAGGGTGTGTATCAACAAAGGAATCGCAATATTGCTATCAACAAAGTATATATATTAGGGGAACCGGAAAGTAATGTCGTTTCTGAGAATATCAGTATTTGATTGTCGTTTTGGCAACTCATTGTGTAAATCTATGTCGTGGAAAAAACATTCTAAGGTTATAGTGACTTCTTTAGTAACAAATAATTAAGTTTTTCGATAGCTTGATCACGAGAGATGGAAAATGGGTCCTCTATAATAATCCAAAACGCAAAAGCAGTGGCTCTCTCCAAAAGAATCGCCAGGAAGTACTTCCAATCCAGGTTTACATCCCAAAAAAGCTATTTGGTGTGATTAGTGGAGTATTACCGGCTTTACTCATTTTGAATAACTAAAACCTGGACTAACTGTGAAGGTAGACCATTATTGTGAAAATCGGATCGTATAAATCAATCTTTAATTGAAAAGTGGTCGGTGATTGTCAACACAAAAGACATTATTCTGTAACACGAAAATGCAAGACAGCACTGCGTAAGACAAATCTTGAAAAAAATTAATGAATTGGGATGAGAGGTACAGCCTCATCCACCATACCCATCCGATGTGGCACCCTGTTGGATTTCCATTCGTTCGGATCATTTCAACATTTTTTAAGTGGCAAAAGATTTGCAAATTCGAATGATGTCCAAAATGTTAATGATTTTTACCGATCCTGCATTAAAAAGTTATACACTAGATGGCAAAAGGTCGTTGATAATGAAGGTAATTCCATCAATAATTAAAAATGAAAAATCGGGTGAAATTGATTGGCACTATCTAGATACTTATCTCCTATATCTTCAGAACCTACATGAACTTCTAAAACAACCAAATTCTCTCGTTTCTAATCTGGATTCCTATTCGATCTCTGATATCCCTCCGAGACGTCCGAAAAGAAGCTTCGTGATTTTCTAATGTTGAAATTTTATTGGAGTACTACCAACGGGTGACATAACACAAAATATAAAACAACCATTACATACACATCTTTAGCGAGACTGAATAAGATATTAAATTATTAGTTCAAGCAACTTGCAAAGAAAGATATGTAAATATGAATTAAGGTATACTTAATACATTACGAAACAGAAGTATCGAAAAACGGTCTTTGGTCAGTCGTGTTGCAATTATTACGGCAACTTAGATTTCTTTTCTAATTGTAATTATAGGAAAAGTGGAAGTGAAAGAATAACATTCGCAAAACCGGAACCGTAGTTTCAGACTTCCCTTCTACACGACCTTAAAAAAAAGTACGAAAAATTGCTATAATGATCCCAAAAATAACTTAAGTGGAGGAGGAGGACAAATTTCAGGAAATGAAAAGAAAGGAATGCGATAATAGGAGCATTATATCTCTAATTCACCAATAGCTTTAATTGTCTGTTATTATCCAGACTGGCGACCATAGCAACTAAGATTGCGACTATTTTGAAGACCATGAAAAATGAGATCAAAACTTTGACGTGAGCTGGATTAAAAGTACTTAATAGTTTTTAAAGAGTTTACGGTATCAATAGATAATAAGCACTGGACAGAGCTGATATAATAATATTTCATGCCAACTTTTGTTTACTGAATCCAAATAACATTAAAACTTCTCACTGAAAATTGATGTACATTTCGTTCTACCTTTCAGACTTTTTTTTTTTTTGTTCTTCTCTACCTCGCATTTTAGGCTATGCAGGGTTTTTCCCAGACCAGAGGGTAAGGACGGAAGTTTAATTCTAGAGTTTCCCTACCGGACACCGGGACGCGAACTCGTAATTATTTTACTGTCTCCAAGTTCGCTTATCAGGTTGCCTGACAGCGCGCGGTGCTGTGTACACGCGTTGGCCCGCTCCTAACTTTCGGGCTTTTAGTTTTTTTTAATCAGAAATATCCATGATTAGTAATGTTATACATAGAACGGAAGATACGCAAGTAGTTCAATCAACGTCACCTCTCTCTGGCATGACCGGATGGTCGCTATCTTCGTTGGCCAACGAGTACATCGGTGGGGAAGTTCAAGTTCTTCTGCCCATATTCGCATCTTTCAATCGTATGACACTTCCCTAAGAGATAATGGGACCCAAGTCAGGAAAAACGTTATCATTTATTTTAACAATTTTCACTGTTTTTAGTTTGATTAACATATATACTATGATTAATTTTTTTTTAAAGTATAGACTAAAATAGGTAGAAAGAATTTTGTACTTCGTTAGTAACAATTACAGGAATCAGAGGCTATAAAACATATTATATTGCTAATTAATAATATACAACCAAAATTATAAAACTTAAGAAATTATCAATAAATAAAAGTATTACACTAAATATGCAGAATAGGTGTTATCAAATGTATATAAAATATATTGACAGGATGAATATTAAAGCCATTAAATAATCTCCGTTTCATAATATATGTTAATAAAACATCATTATGTCAAAACTTTCCTACTCATACGTCACTAGAGATCTTATCTTGCGAATCTCGCTAAGGAAATGTAAGACCTTAAACATGATTTCATCGTTATCTGATAAAATCATTTTAATGATTTTAGAGCCGGGTTCAGGTTCTGAAAAAAATAATTTTGCACAGATTAGGAAATAAGAGAAGCATAAGAGCGTCTCAAGTCTATTCAAATTGCACGGAATGCAAACAAATTCGGTGCTGATCTTGTAAGAGATACTTTTAGTAATTAGTGGCAATTCGCACTCCCTGGAGATCGGAGCTACATGAGGGTTCTCTTCAACCTTGTATGGGCACTTCGGACCTGTTAAACTTCTTTAAAGGAAAAGAAATTGAAATAGCTTAAGGAAAATTAAATGGAAATGGAGAGGACACACTTTGAGGAAAACATATAGTAACATCGAAAAAGAGGCTTTGCAAAGGAATCCCCAAGGAACAAGAAGAAGAGGAATGAATAGTAGTCCGTGGTACAGAGTCGAAAAAATATCGGTTTGGCGTGACCTAAACATATAGGACAAACGGCCCAATATTTTTGTAGGCCACATATTTTATCTATTTTGTGATCAAATTATCTTACAATCCAAGTAGAAAGCAATGCGTATTTACGATTTTTTAGTATCTAATTAAATAGACAAAGTTTGCCCACCTCCAGATTGAAAACTCCCCAATTCCAAGAGGTTTCGTAAATAAAATAGTTGTAGGTTACGATGAGATGAAATTATTTGCGAAGTCTTATGGCGGATGTAAATAATTCGATAAAAAGGGGTCTGTACCATGGACTATAGAGAGAAAAGGTGCAGATACGTTCAAAATGATGAAGCCGGGCTGGAAAGACTTGGCCAGAAGCAAAAATGATTATTAAAAATAAAAAAATTTTTATTTTTAAATGACAGATGTCCGTCTTTGACATGAGGCCAGTCACATGAACTATACTATTTTACAATAATTAAACACGAAAGTAAATAGATATCTATCAGGGCTTTTTTTTTTTTTTTTTAATAGGACTAAATGAAGGTACTTATGTATCATTATCGGAGGTATAACAACAAATTTGGCAATGCATTTTAATTATTTTTCTTATCAAAGAAATATACGTGTATAGATTTAAAATCTTCAAGAAGCTTTTAGAAGAAGAACAGTATCTATACATCTTGTATATAATATAAATCTTTTTAATAAGTAAAAGATATATCGCCGTTGTTGGGCCTTGAATCATGGATTACCGTTTTTATCAAGTGTACTAAGAAATGAACCAAAAACGTGATTGCTGCATGTTTTTATATTACAGGGATTACACGAAGAAATAGTTGTTTGATTTGTTTCTTATCTCTTATCTATAATACAGCAATTTCTAGTAAGAAGTTCTCAATCGAGGAGCCAGCCACGGTTGTTTTATTTATAGAACATTACGGAGAGATATGGATAAATAATTCAGCAAACGTAAACATGTGTTATTTTTCTTCAATTATCAATTCAGCTGAATGATCAGGAACCATTAAAATGTTCAAGTAGCTCTTGAGATACTTGTCTTCGATGTTGGAGGAGATGACTAATAATTCGGACAAACAGGCATCTTGACACTTCTCAGATAAAGAAAATCACAAAAAAAAAAACCAAGACAGATAAAGGCAGTTTAATGTTAAATATTTACCATTGCAAAGCTCATTTGAACTAGTGAATTTATCATTTAAAAATAAATAAATAGACAGCTTCGTTTTTCTAATGCCTTTTACTCTGCCAGATAAACGCATCCAATAATTAGAAACAAACAGGTCAGAGTACAAAATAAAACCGCATTGATAGCCATTCGGTGAGAATATTTACACCTTGTACGCTTAAAGAATTCACATCAGGGAAACATGGGTACACACTCAGCTTCAGTAGCGCCGCTGTAAAAGAACAGGAGGAAACCTCGACGCCACATCCGGTACTGAACAGTTGACAGTGCCTTCCGCTACAGCCTGGAAAACATGTCTTCCAGCGTATTCCAGGAGTACTCCACGCTATTGTCCGTATTGCGGGAAGTCTCGGACCACGACAATGGGAGAGAAAGCGGCCGGCATTTACAACATCGTGTGCCTGACATCGCTAACGACCTCTGGGAACGGAGAAGGGTCCCTGCTCCGTCCTCGAGAATCCCATGGTATAGTTTCGGATCTGAAGAAAGTGATGTCGTTGGAAGGGGGATCCGTGCCGAAGCCTTACACTACCTGGAAGTCAAGTTACTGAAAGGGCTATGCAATAGAAATGACGTTTTTTAGATAATTCTTCATAAAAGAGAGCGACAAATAATTCTGGCCAAATACACAAATAGATAGCATGGCACATTTTTGTTATTAAAAAGTTTAATTATTCAAGTTAACATTAAAAAATAATGAAATAAAAAACTATGACCACAAATTATGATTGTGAAGTTATTTAAATTTATAACAAAATTTGAAAAATAATATTATCATGCATGATTAATTTTTAAAGATCAAATTTAACGGAAATAGTGGGTCTACAGTTAGAGTTAAAACGAAGGATGAGGATCAAGATCGCAAAATAGAGAAAGAAGAAATATATAAAAAATGCACTACAGATCTACAAGAAAAATATAGAGAGAAATTTGGTGAGAGAGAATTTTCGTTACGGAGATTTTACATAATATTTCGCAAGTAGAGAAACTATTCTTCTTTTAACTCGTAATGTTTTGAAAAAGCTGGGCGTTAAAAGAAATCAGTTACAGAATATGGTGGAATCTATTTTAAGATCCTCCCATTTCTCGCGTTTTAGCTACACGCAGTTTTCCCGGGCCAGAGGGTTAGGGCGGGGCATTAATTTCAAAGCTAAAAACCTCCTCGGCAGTGGGACGCGAACTCGCAACTTTTTTTCACTCATACCTCCGGTTATGAGGTTGTAGGGCAACGCGCAGTGCTTTGCACACGCCTTAGCCCGCTCGGCCACCCTGCCCCTACATATTCTAGAGGCATAAAAAAGGAGGAAGGAAATGAGGAGAAAAACAGGGAGGAGGATTGTAACAATCGGTGTTCCGTAAAACTTTAGTCTTTTAGTGTTCCTTTCTTTAAAATCATCGTTTAGACCAGGAGTCTCCAAACTGCGGCCCGCAAGCACCTCCAATCCGACCCGCGAAGGTACTTTGATTACATAATCAAATTTTAAAAACAAATTATGAAAATATGAAATTTAACAAATTACTCACACAAAAGGTTACAACATTTGTTCCTTTTTTTTTTCCTTTAGAAAGTTCATTTCACAACTGAAGTATCATTTATAGAACAAGATATTTTTTTTCATCAAAAGCAATGGCCGACTTAGTGGAGGTATCAATGTGGTCCGCGGGCCAAGAAGTTTGAAGAATCCTGGTTTAGAAGTATAGGTATGATGTGTTATTTAGCAACTCAACACAGTTGAACTCAATTTTATTGTAGTCCTCTCTGTTTTGAGAATATTTTAATAATGAAATTTTAATTTAATTTGAAATTGTTAAAAAAAGTTAATCAAATATACTCCAGAGTGAAAATAAATTATAAGAAACTACTATTATAAAAATATAATTTTATTTTTCTAGTCACATCCTTCAGATTTGGTGCCATTTTCTCATATTTTTTTAAATATTTTTTTTATATATATATTTTAGGCCAAAGGTCACCAAATATACACAGTTTATTATCTCCTGTATTCTTTATTCAACGTTTCGGCTTCAGGAGCCATTTTCAAGATCCATGCACCGCGCCATAAAATTTTTAAAAATCTATCATTGCGATATGATTCGTCCTTTAGTCATTCTTTTATTTCAAAGAATGTCGTTTTTTCATTTCACTTTTGCAGAGGATATCAAGAAAAATTATTTCTCCTCACTAGGGCATTCATACAGGACTCGTTCCTGAATACAGGAGATAAAAAACTGTGTATATTTGGTGACCTTTGGCCTAAAATATATATTTAAAAAAATATATTTAAAAAACTATAATTTTAAGTTAAAATATAAGTTAATTTCAGTATGGAAATTTTATTACCGAGAATTATAAATATTTAATAAAAAAAAAAAATTATTATATTCATATTTTTCTCCTTACAGATGGCCATCTTGTTTATAGCCCTAGAAAGTTATTTCATAGATATGAATCTTTGAAAAAAAATTATAAAATAATAAACATTTATTATTTGCCAATACTGCGACCGAGACTATTAAGGGGATACCTGAGTTGCCTAGCGACACGAGACGTCGTAAGGACAGTACTGTATCAAATTGGAAAGACAGCTAGCTACAACGGTTTCGAAATTCGGTAGAGCGAGGTTTCTTCATTGGCAGGGATAATCTGAAATTCGACAATCCTCACTGATAAAAATTTTAAAGAGCCGTGGTCAACTGGTATCTTCGTAGAAGATTGCCATAAAATCAAAAATATGACTCCCCGTACGGGGGTTCGTTTGCTCAACCGTGGTTGTTGAAGGCGCCAATCGCTGAGGAATTTAACGCTTGGTGTAACGAAGCGATATACTCATTAGCTTTCTTTTGTTAGCAACCAGTTGCGAAGTGTCAATCACGAGAAATTGGTCTAGCAGTTAGGCACTTATCTTGTTTTAAAATGTTTCGCCAGTCAGTAGTTATGAAGTGGCAGTTAAAACCAGAAAACAAATTAGGTATTAGACAGTTCAAATTACATTTTAAACTGCGTTACAACAATTCTCACAAAACATAAAGACCCTACATAGGCTTCACTAACTTTACAACATCACTTACTTAAATTACAAGAATGGTTCAAACTAGGGAAAATTCGAATTAATCATGACAAATCCAAACACATAAATTTTAATCTCCGAAAAAACAGCTGCCCTCCAGTTTACAACTGACAACAATCAAATTTATTCATCCAACAAGTCAGAAAATGATTAGGCATGGATTCACGTTCGATAGCGAGATTTTACTTAAATTAAGTGCATGTAGCCACTTGATAGATGATGCCTGGGTCACATTTTTAGTAAATGACTACTAAATATATATTCTAAATCTCACCTAAATAATCGTGCTTGAATTTTAGCCTTTGTATTATACGTTATAAAATTTTATCGTGGTGTTTTCAGCATCCACATCACACATTGGTGGGTATTTATTCAATATGTAATCTCTATATATTGTCTCACATTTGCTATTTAAAACCCAATAAATGTGTTTAATATTGAAAATATTTATGGTTACAATTTGACATATTTCATTATTACTGTCATTGAATTCTATCATTACAAAAATTAATGAATTACCCTGTTATTTGAAATATGATAGTTTTGTTTAAGTTTAGCAGCATCATAATGATGCATATGTGTAAAATAAAAATATATAAATAAAAATAAACGTTATTAAAAAGATAGACAATGTTTTAAAATTCAAATTTTTAATAATTATTATTTTATTTATATTAATAAATTAATAAATGTTATTTTTGTGGAAGTATTTTTTAAAAAAATCGGTAAAATTTTCACCATGTTATAAAAAGTTTAAAAAGTAAAAAAAAAAAAGTTTTGTTTCTTAAAAATACTTTCATTTCGATTTTCTGTATACAAGTTATTTGTAGCTTTGAAGTGATCAAATCAACAGAAAATTTTAAGGAATAAATGGTCAATGCTCAAAGACAGAGAATGTGAGTTAATTAATCAGAATAAAGCGTTATTTTAAATTTTAACATCATAATTTTTTTTTAAATAAATATTATATTAAGAATTTTAATTACTTTTTCCACACAATCATGTAATAATTATTATATTTGATTTTTTATTTAAGAATCATGCAAGTATTACATTTTGAAATAGCATAGATTGTGCATTCGGTACCTGCACTATATATATGTGTGCGCGTGTGTGTATATATATATATATATATATATATATATATATATATATATATATATATATATATTTGTAAACCACAATCAAATGAGTTTCAGAAATAAAGATTGCTAATAGTTGACAATATTCCCCACCTACGACTCCAGGCTCAAAATATATTATATAGATTACACAAAATTCATATTTCTGATTTTAAAAAGTATTATTCAAGAATTATTATTATTGTTAATAGTAAAAATTTTGTTCAAAAATAATGATCTGGATATGATTTTTATCACTTATGATCAAAAATAAAAATAGCTTTTAATGAAAACCATCAAATGATTTAAAAAAATTACCGATAAAAATGTTGGTCAGATTTGATTTTTTTTTTTTTTTTTTTTTAACTTCAAACTCTCAATGGGGTTCCAGAACCACGAATTCTCGTGGCCGAACCCTGCTGTCTGCACTCAATTCCCACCGTTTTCACCTCCTTTCCCCCAACTCTCCTACCTACTGGCCCACAGATCCCAACCGTAATCCTGATCTTGATTTCTTTATCCACAGCGGCTTAAGTCCCCTCAATTGTTCCATTACACGTCTAAATGAACTTTCCTCTGACCATAGTCCTCTAATCCTTAATGTTTCACTTGAACCTGTTCCCAAACCTTCTCCACCGTCATTCATTAGGGGCCTAGTAAACTGGGACCTTTTCCGCCAAATAATCTCCGATAATATTGATCTCAACATATCCCTCAAAACTCCCGATGACCTTGATAGTGCCGTAAATTCCTTTACTACCACAATCCAACAAGCCGCCTGGACTGCCTCCTTCCCAAAAGACTCCTCCAGAATTCCTATAAAGACAATTCTACCCCAACACCTCCTTAACCTAATCCGCACCAAACGCCGTGCCAGATTATTATGGCAACGTACCCGACATCCTACCGACCGCTGCTCCTATAATTACTACTGCAAACAATTAAAACTGGAATTAGCCACCTTCAGATCACAACAATCCTTCAACTCCTACCTATCCTCCCTCTCTTCTCGCGACAATTCCCTTTGGAAAACCACAACAAAAATCCTAAATCCTCACCGCATTTCCCATCCTCTCCGACGAGGTGATGGCTCCTGGGCAGCATCTGACGAAGATAAAGCTGAGGAGTTCGCCATTCACCTATCCAATACATTTATTTCACATCCGGAATCCCATCCTGCCCACACCGTAACAGTAGAAGAACTCCTTACATCACCAATCCCACTTTCCTTGCCCCCAAAAGCTATTCATCCTTCCGAAGTAAAATTTCAATTAAAAAAACTAATCCCCCGTAAAGCTCCTGGACATGATCTCCTTACACCTCAAATCCTTCGACAACTTCCATCCAAAGCAGTCATATTCC